CAGAGCTCTGCAAGGTCCGGCTCCTTTATCCCCCCTGGCGCTCGGTTTTCACCAAAAGCCTGCTTGTTTGGTGATGGAGGAGGAAGAGAGAGAGGGGAGCTCTGAAATGCAAAGGGAAAACAAACCCAAGGCAATCAGTGTTAGTGAAGACAAGAGTCACTAAAGCAGCAGCCACAGAACGGCTGGAAGAATGAGCTGAGAAAAAAATCACAATGATTGAAGCAGAGAATTGTGCTGCCTATTATTTTTACTATTTTACAAATTAATCCAAATCCTACATAGTTCACTTGGACTTTTCCTACAGTTTCTCTGTCTCTCTGGAGGCAAATTTTATTGCACTGATTTAGTCTCTTGATTACCACATCATTTCTCCATTTTTTTGTTTGCCTGAAAATGAGCAGACAATAAGATATAATTATAACATTTCTTCTTTGCTACTCATCAGATTTTTGTATGCCATCAACTAAAACCACATCTATTATAAAAATACAATATCCATCATTTAAATTAGGTCAAAGTTTTTAAAATGCTCTGTAAGATTTTTCCACATCAGAATAATTCAATCACGATCATGTTTCCTTGATGCAACTATTTTGGGATTTAGCTTGTTCCTTGATAGGGATTTAATTAAGTCATTTACATGTAATTTCCAAATAAGTAACTGTTACAAAAGGCAGCAAAGAAATGAAAAGGCAAAAAGGAACCTGAAGGCAGCCGATCTTTAACAAAAATATTTCTGATATAAAAATGAATCTGAGGAATACATATTCAGTGATAAGTATTCCAGTCCATGTCTGGTAAACTCTCAGATAATGGCAGCATGGTGGGGTCACTGGGGTTCTATTAGCTCAATTAATGAGGAGTAAGATAAGGCTAACACCCAGCTCTTCAAACGGCTCAAAAATAGAGCTGATAGTAATGGAGTTATTAACCTTCACCAGCCATTGAATTTTGCTGCTGATTCAAACTCCATTTCCTAGTTCAGGCCTCCATTAATAGGCTGTTTATTATCCCTAATCCACATTGGGATCAGCTGCAGAAATATGAAAGCCCCATGTAAAGACCAAGTAGTTTAAAAAGAAAAAAAAAAACATTTTTTTTCCCATTCTGATTTCTCCCTTTTCAACATGTTCACAGGTTCTACCTTAGAAATTAAGAACTTCATTATCCTAAACTGTTTGAATACATGTTCTCAGCAGCGTGGTAAAAAAAGAAGCTTTAAATATATTATGTAAAAAGATGACATAATTGGGAACAGAGCCACATCATTTTGAAGACCAAATAAAACCCTGCTGGAAAGCTTGCACTGGAGAAGCTGTTGCTGTTTATTTTCTCTACCGGGAAAGAAACAACTTGAATTTTGGAAAAATGAGCATTAGAAATATATTATGGATGTATTGTTAGGTCAATCCTTTGGCTCAACCCTCCCCTGCCCAGCTTTGAGTGTTCACTTGTATTATTTGTAATGTAATTAACCAACAGTGAAAAGTGAAATCACCGGATTTCAGATCAGAAGGACAAAACCAAGGAAATAATGGAGCAGGGGAAGGGGCAATCCCAGGACAGGCAGCAGCAGAGCCTTTGGCACTGATGAGGAGAGCTCCAACACAAACCTGGCTCCAACTTTAACACAGAATCCTGAGCTCAAGAGTCTCGTTAGACTCTGTGCTGAGTTTGAACTCACTCAACTGAGATTTCTGACACTTTGTAAATTTTTGGTGTATTTTCAGTGAAAGAGACAATGTTTAGTTACCACAGTCTACACACAGAACATGTTCTGCTAAAATCTATCCCAGGAACATCTGATAGAATATCAGCAATTATGAGTGATGGAGTTCAGATGAAAATAAAAATGTTTATTATATCCACCTCCAGTACACAGTGGTGCCCTCAAATGCAGTTCTGGGTGTCCTACATCAGCAAAAAAAAAAAAAAAAAAAAAAAAAAAAAGCTGGAATGTCCAGTGAGGGGAGAGAATAGAATGATCAAAAGAGTGAAATTATTTCTAGGGGGAAAAAAAAGGATAAACAGATCAAGGTTCTTTTGCGTGGGAAAGAGGTGACTGAAGGGCAAATACAAGGGGCTTAGAAAATCAGGAGTGTTGGGAGACATGGCCAGGGAATGTCTTAACTGTTTCTCAAGAGAAGAAATGCACCTGGAAAAAAATAATGAAGTATTTTGACATGACACCAAATAAAATGTGAAACTCCTTTCCACATGATTTGGTGGCCCAAAGTACAGCATTGAAAAAGAGAGAATAAAGTCAAGGAAAAGGGGTTAGATTCGAAGTTTTCCAGAGGATCCTCTGGCTCAGGGAATCCTTAAATTTCTGAGTGCATTAAATTGGCATGAGCCCAGCAGAGGAATGGTCAGGAACCAACGGAAGGTGACAACCAGAGATTCACAACATGACTTTATTTTAACTCTGAGAGAGAGCAAAAAGGATAAAACAAAAATACTTTGGTGGATATTACACCGAGTTTTCAGTAGAACCCTCCGCGGCCACACTATACATTTCTTTTTGTTGCTTAAGCACTAATTAAAAAAGCTAAACCACCCATTTGGGTGAGGAACTGAAGTCACACCTTTGTGCCAGAGCTTCAGAAGCCACCCAGTGACGGTGGATTCGCGCTCAGGTCGGGCACTGAGGGGTTAATGGTGTCTTTGAGAGGCTCCTTGTGTGGCCCAAAGGCTGCCCCAGGTCAGTGCCAGGGGGATCCTGTGCACTGGGGCAGGAGCTGCTGCCCGGGGGGAGCGCAGGGAGCAGCTCTGGGCTCTCGGGGAGACAGCGTTTGCAGCAAACCCTCACTCTACTGCAAATCCTCATTTAAAGAAAACCCCCCACTTTTTCCGTGGAAATTGAATTATTTTCCTTTTTGTTCCCGAGCAGTTCTTTGGATGCGGTGGCTGATGCTGTACGAGGGTTTTTTTTTTTTTATTATTACATTTTAACAAACTTTATAGCCCATTTTGTTTGTTTTCAAATAACTTTATTTTCCTTCTTTTCTACCATCAATTACTAGGTTTGTTTTTCTTTCTATAAGATGGAGGAGTCAGGAGACTGATCCTGCTCGATGCTGGATAATTTAGTATTATGTGTGGTAGCTTTATGAGGTGGGAGTCAGATAAAACATAGTATTTGAACACTAACCATTTATTAGCTCTAAGGAATAGATTTGTGACTTGACAAGCAGACAATAACTCTGTGTTCTGATCAGCCAAAGAGGTCTACTCTGAGTTCAAAAACCAGAGTAACATTCTCTTTCACAAATAATTTTGTTTACTGATGTGACTAGATTTTAATAATAAACTTGATATATATGTAAATTTATTTTAATCTAATTTCATCAACAGAGCCCTCCTAAAAATGAGACTTTGTAGATTGTTCTGTGTCTGATTTATAGATTTCTGCATCCTATTCCCAGATTGATTTCAGGGCTATAATTCTATCAGGTTTTTCTCCTGATGTCAGAAACACCACCTCTGCAGATAGTGTTTTATAACTCGCATCACAACTGAAACTGAATTACTGCCCTGCTATCCTATGCTGCAATGTGTCCTTTTGTTTATAATCACCCTCTCTCCCTCACATCCCCACCACTTCAGCTTCATGGAAAATATCAGCTCTGAGATCAATCAGGGAGCTCCATGTCTATTTCTGTCCCTCACTTCAACCCCTGGATAAAACAGGGACCAAATTCTAAACTCAGATGTGAATGTGCAGAGCTCTTTAGAGCAAAGGGAGGCTGAGCAAATGGATCAGTGCTGAATTTCCACACATCCCATTCTATAATGAGTTGCTCTTCCTCCCTTGATGAGGTCTCAATCCTGGGAAGGAGCAGGCAGGGCACACTCGAGTATTCACACTGATCTCAGGGACTCAGAGGTGCTCAGGGATTCAGCACCTTCCTTCTAAATGCACAAGAAGAAAAATCTGGGGGAAATTACGTTTAACTGAGTCCAGCACAAGATTTGAGGTTCTTTCTCCATTTTCTTTCATGCAATGGATTCCTGTTTAAGATGCTCATCATCTTACTTTGGATAAATAAAGTTCCTGCTGCTTTCACACACTTCCCTTTTCCACAGACCTCGAGGGATGACTGGCAGCTCCCTCCCCCTGCACTCCCCTCTATTCTCTCTCCAACTCAACCTCAACCTTTTCCATCCTTCTCCTACCCCTGTACAGGAGGGAATCCAGAGCAATCACACAGGAAGAGTAACTTTGCCAAATTAAACACTGATGTGGGTAATTCACCTCTCCTATCATCACTTTTTAGGTAAGAACATCTTCCTTGGAAGTAGAAAGATCACAAATTTCCAATGTTTGCCTTTGGAATGGCCACTGTGCCAGCCAGTGGGATGGACAGAACCAGGAAGGCCTGGGAAGGGAATGGAAAATCCTCTCAGCTTTGATGAGTGCACCAGCACTTTAAATCCTCACCATCTTTGGACCAGCTGTGAAAAGTAACTCTATTTTATTTGCTTGGCACTCGTAACAGTTCTCTTTGGATGCTGATGTCTCTCATATTACATTTCTGAACAATTCATTATAGCTCAAATAAAATGTAATTCTCATGTTGTTTTTAATTATTTCACAAAACCCAAAAGTCTCATAATGAGCTCCTTGCAATACCAATATATTTCCGCGGTATTATGTCAATGCTGAAGAAAGAAGATGTAGATCCCCCCCTCCTGCTGCAAGTAAAATACATCTTCTCATATAATCCAAACTTTAATCCATTTCTTATGGTTTGGTTTTAGAGGCAACTCAAACAAATAACCAGAACAACAAATCTCTTTTCTCTCCCACAGTTTGGCCATCTGGAGCATTTGTCAGGCCAGGGCTCTATTTCCTACTCTCCAGGAGCAGGACCCCTTTCCTCACTAAGGAAGCAAAAATTAAGATGCAGTAACATAAAGGATGTCAGTAAAGATCTGTACCTTTCCACAAACTGATTTTTCCTATCTACAGAATTGTGATGGCTGGATTTCTCCCTTACCTGTTGGGATTAATCTGTGCTTTCTGCAGCTGCTCTCCCTGCTTGACATCCCTGGGGAAGCCAGAGAGCACCCAGCCATTGGTCAGGCAGTCCAGGGCACTCAGGCGTTCTGTCAGCAGCTTCAGCACGAGGTTGTCTGGCACTGCAAAGCAGGAAAAAGGTGACATTTATTCTGTGTGCTGAGTCTGCAGTGGAGGGAGATGCTCACAAGTCCTTCTAGAACCAAACCAAACAGTTATTCCCATTTATTGGCATTGGGCATCGTTGGCTTGTGCATATTTATTGTCATGGAATCCCCAGATTCACTGTAGGACCAATGCAAAGGATTTGGTAAAACTGGTGCCCACATCATTTTGCAATGTACTTTTCCCTCCCAGCCACACTGGACTGGTGTCACAGTGAGGTGTGTGACACAATCTTATCAAAATGCAAAAACGACGACCTGAGTCGTGGAAAAGAAATCCTAAGACAGGAAAGGAATTTCTGAGAATTCTGGATTGAACTCAGCAGGTGATAATGGTTCTGCCACAACAGTCTATGTGTGCTACTGCTCCAATTTATCCAAAGGCTTGAAGATTTTATAACTGAAAATAATTTTCAAAATTAATTTCAACAACCTTAACTACAGCATTGATGAACCCCTAATTTTAGAGCTAAAAGATCTTTTTCCTCTACTGTTATTATTTTTCTTCAGGGCAAGAGAGAACATCAGCAAGATACTGACTGGGATTACAACTACTATGGAGCTTTTAAAATTCTATTTAGTGGTAAGGAGGTATCCTGCACATTTTCACTAGAGTCTTTATAAAGGAAATACTTAGGAGGGTTTTTGTGTTTTTTGGGAGGAGGGGATGTGTTCAGAATTAAATTATTAAGTTCAATGAGAGTGACTATCGATTTTTCCAATGGCTATTGTAATGTCTTGGGCTCGGTGTCAAATAACCCCAAAGAAAGGACAGCAAAATCACCTGGAGCTGCTTCCCAAAGCAGCAGCCAAACCAATTCCCCAGCAGCAAGGAGAGCCCCTTCCCTTTATGTGCCTGAAACACCGGTGCTCTACTGGAAACAAGAGAGAAATTGCTACATAAATCCCCTTCATGGCAGCTTGATGTTTTGATGCTCACCCTGCCATCACATCTGCATACAAAAATACAACAACAAGTGCTTGTAGGAGAGTGTATGTGTCAGATTTCTAGCACTGCACTTCTCTTCAGGACAAGCTGACAGCAATCTGCCTGGATTTTAGCAGAGTGAATTATTAGCAGTGCACAGTTCTACCCCGGGAACATGCAGGTTTTAAACTGCAATAATAGAATCCATTTGCTCCAGGAATTTAAAATTGCACCTCTGTCATGAAATTCATGGCTTCTCCTTTAAATAATCAAATTACTGAGTTTACAGAACTGCACTCAGGAGTCAGTGTACCAGCAAAAGGAGAGGAAAACCGCAGGGAATTAATTAGGAAACAGATTAGTGTATTAATTGAGGATATCCACTTCACATTATGAAAGAACAAGTTAAAGAGAGTAATATTCTCCATCTGCTGAAAGGAGGGAAAAAAAAAGAATGGAATAAACCCACACACTTGACAAAGAGCAAAATGACAATGCAGAAACTGGGTATTCTGTTAAAAATGGGACTCATAAAATTAACAGTAACAATAGTGCAGCAGCAGGAAGGAATTTTATCAAGTGGATGCTTCTTCCCTATCCAAGACCTGAGCTGCAGGCAGGCACGGGAGGGACACCAGGAGAATTTCAGTGTTCTTTCCAGGGCAGATCTCTCCCCACACTCCAGCTTACAAGAATTAATACAAACCCAACACATGCTAGCAGGAATAAAGAAAAACAAACAAACCCACCTTCTCTTTCCCAAAAATGCATTCCATACAAAGACCAGTGGAATTTTCCCATAGTCCTGAATTTCTGGCTGCAGCATTGAACTTTCTTCACGTGTGTTTATTTTATGACAGCTCCTACTGCAATCATTGACATGGATTTACAGAGATGCCAAGTGACACGATTTTATTTTTTAATTTCACAATGCTCAAAACAGTTTTGCAAGGGATAGAACCAACAAACCCCCGAGTGAAACTGCAGTAGGATTCTGCCAGAGTTGACATCCCTGTCACATGAACAGGGCAGAGGCTGGAAGGGCCAGGAATGGCACAGAAAGATGGATATCCTGTGCTTTTGAGCTTCCAGCAGATCCTGGGAGATTCCCCACTTCCACATTGCTTCCATCCTTCATATGGGAAGGAGAAACACTGCAGCCCACGAGGAAATTAAAAAGCAATTGTGATGGGAACGTGGGGCATCTCCTGGGTCTGAGCATTTCCCACAGGCTTTCTGTGAGCCCTGATGATCAAAATCCTCCACTGTGGTCACTATTTTGGAACAAAACTGAAGCAACCACACGAGGGGGGAAAAAACAACGAGATGCAGCGATGATTAATTAATAGTTTATCTAATGACATGCCAGGTTTGGGGTGTTCTGAGGGGTGCTGGGGACACCTGACACCTCTCTCCCTTCAGCCAGGAGTGACTGCAAGATGTCAGCAGCACCCATGTACACATATACATCACTGAATAATATAGATGCTTACATATTTTCTGTGCCTCCCTCTAAAGCTTGATGGTGTGAAATAAAACATAAACAAGTCAGACAGCAAGCTCTGCTCTCCTCTTGATTAGCAAACATACCTATCACTTCAACACAATGGGGGAACAGAGCTTGTTGGCTGCTTGGTGGCATTACAAAGTGCATCAGCTGCCCTTGAACAGCAACAGTCACACTTAAAACAGCTGCATTAAAACTGTAAAACATCTTCCACAGACCAGAGGGAAAGGGAAGAAAAAAAAAAAAAAAAAAAAAAAAAATCAGTATTATTCTTATTTTGTAGTACAGACAGAGTAGGTAATGAAGAACTCTGCAGCACAGAATTCCTTTTCACTCATGTGGAACTGTCTCTGGAATGTAAAGCAAATTAATAACCTGTAATTGGAGGGGCACACAGCCTGTGAGGAACTAGCCAGAGGTCTCCTGGCCTTAAGCACACAACCCTATGGGCATATAGCAAAGTAAAATATAGAGCTTTCCTGATGAGACAGTCAATCTACATGTTTTAAGGAGATTATGAAGCACAAGAGCTTTGAATAATCAATTCCTTTTCAACATAAGCTCGTGTGAGTTTCCAGCTCTGAAAGTTGGGGGAATGAGACTCGAGAGAGATTTTACTTTATCATTAGAGAAGTCCAAAGATAAGTTTCTTGTAAAAATTACAATGTGCTGCTGCAGAGAGATACCCAGACTAGGCAAGGTGGGAGCACGTCTCTATTAGGGAGAGAAATCAAGGCATAGGAGCCCAATTCACCCCTCAGAAGTAAAGCTGCAGTGAATCCTGAGAGCATCAGACACAGCTGTGGACCAGGATCACAGATCCCAGGATGGAACAGCAGCAGAACGAGACCACAGCCAGCTCCAGATGGAAATGTAATTTATCTGTGCCTACACAAACCCCACACTCCGTGTCTCCTTTATCTCCCAGCCTGTTTCACCACGTTAATGATCAAGACTACGCCCCTGAATGGGCAGCTGTGGATCTAAGAAGTGATTTAATCACTTCAGGGGTTTGATCAGGCAGGGGACAAGGTTTACAGTGCTGCTGCTCATGCTGGAACTGCTGTGTGGACACCCAGAGATTTTCAATCTCCAGGGCTGTAAGTCAGCACCTTCCGGCAGAACATTTAAAAAATAAATTTACTTCTCAGAGCTTCAAAGTTTTTCTCAGGTATCAGGTACTTCTCATGAGAAGTACATCCTCACGAAGCTCACAGGAGTGTGGCCTATTAGCTCTTCCCCAATCCATGGATCTGCAGGACTAACAGAAACCAGGATCAGACAATCAGTTACAAAATCAGGCAATCAGTTACAAAATCAGGCAATCAGTTACAAAATCACACCATCTGCTCCACACAAAAGTTACAGAACATTAAAGGCACAGTCTGAAAGAGAAAAACACTTGAGAGATTACAGGGCACTATTCTCCAATAACTTCAATGCTGTCAGTGCTCCAAGCTATACAATTATCATATTTAAATTGATACCTCCTCCATGTATTTCCCTTTAAAACAGACTTTTCCATGGTATCAACTCACTTCTCCAAACCTATATAACCTCGATTCTAAGTACAGCATAAATGCATTTGCAGATACAAATTCTGTCAGCTTTGTGCTCTAAAAGGTCCTTTTGACAATACTGTCCATCTATGCTTTATCCTGCTTGTAGAGATATTTTTTTAGCAAGGTCTGAAGATTTTCACAGCTAATTCAGATGCCTGAGGCTTGATCCCAGTAGTTGACAGTTAACATCTTGTCCTGAGTATAAGCTACTGCCAAAGGCTACTTTCCTGAATTGTCCAGGAAATCCCAAATTTAGCAAAGCATGAGATTTCCTTATTTTATAGCTCTAGAAACTCTGGGTGATTCACAATGAGTAATTGGCTTTTTCTACTCTGTTTTCTTGCCCACGTTAAGGTCCTCAGAGATGGTATCGATTGAGATTGTATAAATTGGTTTTTAATGTGTTTGAGAACGATTTAGCAGTGATTTACCATCGCGTGGGCTGATCGATAATTTAGGCTAATCCTCCGAGCCGCCGGTGGGTGAGGACGGGCAGGTCTGAGTGCAGACCGTAAATAAACACCCGGATTGTAAAAAATAAACACCCGGACCGTAAATAATAAACATTCGGACTGTAAATAATAAACATTCGGACTGTAAATAATAAACACTCGGAGTGTAAATAATAAACACGCGGCCGAGCGCGCTGCAGCGGCACCGGGAGCAAATCGCGGCGTTTGGCCGGGCTGCAGAGGGGAGAAGGGGATCGGTCCCTCCGGGGGGCTCCGGCCCCCACACCCGGCGGGGTCCCGGAGGGTCCCGGGGTTCACCCGGGGGGCTCCAGCCCTGCAGTTCCGGAGGGCCCCGGTATTGTCCCGGGGGTCTCAGCCCCGCTGTCCCGGTCTGTCCCGGTCTATCCCAGCCCCGCTGTCCCGGTGTTTCCC